TGCAAATGATATAGTCTTGGCAATCTTTAAATGAATGTTTACATAAATGAGCTTAACAATAAGAGGAGACAAAAATGGTTACAGAACGATAATAAACAGAAGGAAATATTGTCAATGAGCGGAATAGTTCCACATTGCTTATATTATAGGAAGAAGTGAAATAAACAAAGCACTAAATTATTCTCACATACAACAACTGCACTCCCATTATTTTGCTGTTTTAAATTTAACTTTCCTTGATGGAAACAAAAAAAAAAAAAATTGAAAGGAAAGTTCTGATGATGGACATTTTTGAAAGATGAAGTCAGACTTTTTTATGGATTCAAGCTTCTTTCATTTCGATAAATTACGTCAAATAAAAATAGGGTAAAGAGAATTCAGATCAGACGAATAAAAATCAATTGTGATTTTAATTATAGAAGAAACACGGTTGAATGAGAAAAATTAATTAATTAATTGGTTTTCTCTTTAGGAAAAAATAGTGATATTTTATGTATGATTCATGAAACATCTTGATGAGTGTCCAGTTATTGACGTCTTTTCCCGAGTTCTCAGTTTTCTTAAATGAATATGGGATAGAAAAGTTATGTTATCTAAATTTGTATAATAATTTTTGCAAGCAGTTATTAGCGCAGACAAAATATTGGGTTCTGGACTTGTAATTAATTCTGAAGTATAATGCTTTTCTTGATTTCTTGAAAATAAGTGGACAAATCCAATAACCGGAAAAAGAATCATTTTCTATCAGAATGAAAACCACTGGCAATTTGGTCAATAAATCATAGAAGCTAACAGGCTGCAAAATGATAGCGGGAAAAGATGATAGCGTGAATGGTAGACAGACTGAAAAATCAATAAATATTTTATATTCCGGAAGTCCGTGATACGATTATAAAAATCATATTTGATTGTTGACAGAGAGAAAAAAGAAGGAAATATGTTATTGAAAAAATGAGAGGAGGTGAAGTGAGAGAAGAAAAAGACGTCTTATATTGTAAGAAGTTTCAACAAAAACTGCAATGGTTTGGAGAAAAGTGGTGTGACAACATCGTTGACAACAAAATATGTGTGGCAAGAATTTGTAGAGTAGCAAGCGCTACTGAACCTTTTATGGGTGAGCTGTATGAAGAGATGTGTCTAAATAACATTTTCGTAGTGATAACACTTCTGACAATTACAAATTGTCCCTTGCTGACGCTGAAAGCACTGATTCTTATCAGCAGTGGTGATTGTCCCTTCATTGCTTGACCACTTTTATATTATTCTAGCTCTTCTTATGGTCAGCAAAAAGATCCAAAGGCGCCGAAAAAGCAGAGAGGAGATCGAGGTATATCTGAAAAATTATGACGACAAACAGCGATTTCAGTTTTCAATAATTCTCAAATTTTTGCTATAATTCCTTTGAAAGAGTTAGGACTAAATAGATTATCTGGCCAGATTGATCAAATTAAAACCGATTGAACTAATCTTCTGAAAGATCAACATATTAAACCAAGTACTTGAGAACATTTTCTTAAAACTAATTCTGACATTATGAAAAATGCGAAGAGATAAAATAGAAAAAAAAATCAATTGATTCGAGTTACAGAATTTATTAATTTTAAGATTCTCAATGATTGGTAATTGGAGAAAAGACATGAAAGCTTTTATAAGTTCTTTATAAGTTCTGATCGTTCCATTTTTGTCCGTAGAATCACTTATTTAATTAATTTGGTTATCTTTTTGCATACATTTAACCTTTCTCTCTCCCAATAACTTAGTCAGTGACTGGATTCACACACTTATATGTATTGAATCCATTTCGGATCTCATGCCTTGTATTTTGAAACATGTTTCACAGACAATGATGATAAGTACCGCCATCATCGAATGGTAGTGTAATTTGCAATTCTATTCAAAACCGCAGAATGACAGTTATTTGGAAAAATGAGATAAGTTGAAGAATCAGTCAGTCATTCAAAAGCCGAATGACAGTTGTAAGTTAGCTTTACAGGAAAATATTAGAACAACAAATGCACTTTAAAAATTTTCTTTTTTCATTCAAAAGGGAGCACATCACTTCTTATATATGGAGTTTTTGCAATAAATTTAAAGATATTTACAAGAAGAAAGTACAAAGAACAAAGAAAAAAATGATTGTTTACTGTACCAAATTATCGGTTTCTTTTGCGGATATTAGATAATCTAATGGAAATAACTTTTGTAATAAGAATAGAAAATGATTAAAAATAAAAAAGAAGCGGAAAAAAAATAATAAAAGCAATCATTTATATCTGCTCTCTCCAGCTAACTTAACCTAAAAATCTATAAAGAATAAGCTGATTAAATCTAAGCGAACTTTGAATAACTCGAATTAAACTTTATTCATAAATTTTATTAAGAGTAACAAAGATTATTTCTATGTAATAAGACAGTACTTGAGAGCGAAAGAAAAAGGAAGTTCTGTGAAGGACTTGGAGACAATTTCATATAAAATTTTTTGAAAAGTTTCTAAAACGATTGAATTTTGATAAGTGAAAGAAAGTAACTTTCACAGAAAGTTGTAAGTAGTTTTTGTGCAACATGAGAAGTGGATGGAAAGCATGAAAACATACTTAAATTTGAACGCCTATAAAAAACTATCAGTTTTGAGGCTGTGTGGAGGTTCATTCCTTCGTTAATTTTTGAGCATGAAGACATTTCCTTAAATAAATCTTGTAACATGGAAGTATACTTTCAAATTTATAAGGATCATTCTCGTTCTCTTTTACCCAATTATTTAACCTATCCTAAATCTCTCCACATACTTTTTCTTCTAACTTCAACGAATACAATTTATGACAGAATTTGATGGTTTTGCATCTTTCCGCTTGTTTCAGAATTAACTATGGGCAGTTTTTATATCACACATCACAAAAGGATGAACAACATGGAAACAAAAAAAAAAAAAAACGAAAGGATGTTTTATTTTTCATCCGCAAATCAAAGCTTCCGCTTCCGTCCAAAGCTACAAAAATGAAAAACTATAAAGTAGAAAAATGATACGGTGATAGTATAATTTAATAATGACTAGAATTGAAATTGACATAATTTTTTGAATTAGTAAGTGATTGCATGATAGTGATCGTTATACACAGATTATTAAAGACTTAGGAAGTAAAAGAAAATGCAACGGTAACTGCACTGTATGTGTATGTTGCATTTAATACATTATCGGATTATCGAATATGGCTTATCGAAATTATCTAAAAATCTACAAAAATAGAAAGAATAGAGATAAAAGAGAAATAAATTACCGTTAAAAAAAGAAATGAAAAGAATGAATGATATTCTAGGGGAATTTTTGGAATGTCGAAGGATAACTAATATAATTACTAAATATATTCAAGAATATTTGTGCGATAAAAAAATTGCTGAGTCATTAAGAGTGTTTATTGTAAGCAGTTTCATCCTCTGATTTAATCTGTTCAGCAATTGATTCTCCTTGGATTTTTAAAAAAAATAGTTGCTTTGCATAATTGGTCATAATGATTCTCTGTTTTTCCATTAACAGAGTGTTGTAGACCAGTATGAAGTATATTGCTTTCGCTATGGAAATTCACTATTTATTAGAAAGGATTTTTTTTTTTTTAGAAACTTTGACTTTGATGTAATTGGATGGAAAATGAGTAGAGAAATATTCAGTGAAAGAATTTTGATGAAGATGGAACATACATTAAATGCAAGGGTCTAAGAAACCGGTTCCGAAAATTTTACTCTAACTTTAAAGAATCATGTTAATTTAAAGGTGGAGAATAAGGAAGGGACTCTGAAAAGGCATCAGAGTCGGTTCAAAGGACTGTACAAGGAGTATGCTATACTGAGATAATGTACACATTCTTATATACATTGATTTATATATATATGTATTTGATAACAGTGTGATCAAAATTAGGAATTACTCATGCCTCAAAGTTTTACCTATGAAAATTTCTAAATTCTTCAAAAAATATTGATACTTCATCAAAATCGAAATTAGTGATTCTGAATAACAGCAAGGAACATTTAAACTCGCAAAAGTCTTAAAAATATAGCTGGAGTTATACATATATTTTGAATCCACTGAAATTTGTCAAAAATTTTTAGAAACTTAATAAGTAAATTACTGGACGTACTGGTTTAATGATTAAAATCGAAGGCTTCTTTCACTAAAGACCGAAAATTTATGTTTGGCTATGTTTTCAAATGCATTTGCCTCGTTTTACAGAAAAATTCATCCATGTATTTTGACGCAAAAAATATTTAATAAGTGAATAAATGAAAATGAAAGAATGAAGACGGATGAAGCTTTATTCGCTTAACTAATTTCTATAGTTCATTAATACGTCAAAAATAATTTTCCTTGTCATAATATTAAAAAAAACTCATGAAACTGCCATCTGTAATTTCTAATTCTCTTTGTTTTCTTGGACGAGAAGGAATGGGATATTTAGGTAAATAAGTATTCGGTTGCTTTGATGAACGCGAAATTTGTATAATTATAGCTCTTGGGTTAGGCTTAAATTGAAACGTCTGTTTCTAATTTCTTTTTTCACTTCATCCTCGCCCATCTAGCAAATGACAAAAAAAAAAATTTGTTTTTTTATTATTTGTTTTATATTAAAAAAAGGACAAGAAAAAAAAATACACATCTTTTTTCTTTCGAGATAATAGTATGAAGATAAAGTACGCATCGATACGGTGATCCCATTTCATTCATAAATCTATTTTCAAGATCTTCCTGAAAAAAAATTATGCAAAATTAAGTAGAAGTGCAGTTTCATGTATTAAGTTCAAATTATTTGAATTATATTTATTTCACCAAAACGTTATGCATTTCAAAGTGTATATTTTGAGTTTGTGAAATTGGAATTTCTAAAATACAAAATAGAATTTTAGCAGGTCAGGGACCAGCAAATGATTAATTAATATATCAGTGATATTAGACAGTGAGAAATTGTGGCTGGGATAATCTTCTGATTATTAAAATATTGTTAATCAATATGCAGATTTTTAATTGGTTGGGTACATTTACACTTCCAAATTTGTATCATTCCGACAGATTACTCATTGTTCTCAGACCATTTCATCTACATTACATTTTACTGTGTGGTTATATTATGGTGAATCTCTTCGATTAGTGTTTCAGTTGTCAATCCTTCCTTATTGTATTAAAATAAAAAAAAAAGAAAAACATTTAAATAAAGTGATCAAACTTTATAATAAAATTTTGCAAACAATTTCAAACTTTAATATTTATCAGTGTTTTTTAAATTTTGTAGTTTTAGGCAGCTACCATCTTAAATTTGCATCATAAACTTGGAAAATTGGCGCGTAATATTTCACAGATTTTATCGGCTGACGTTGAAGTTACAGTCAATATACAATTTAAAAAAAACACTATGTACGCACGATTCATTCTAAATGTAACAAATTCGGAATGGAAAAGCAAAGAATGCTATATTAACGAGATAGAACACATTTTCCAGAAACAAGTAGATGGGAGGGAAGTCGGGAAGACCAGGAGAAACACATAGTAACTAGAGGTTCAGGGATGTATATTCTGATACATATTTGGAATCGCCAGTTTTGCTTTTACAAAAAATTTTTTGAGCACCATTTTCAGGTACCTGACAAACGTAAGAGGTAAGCCCTAAATTTTCTTTTCCACGTTTGGAAACATTAGCAACCTGTCTAAAAGGTACATCAAATTTATGATATGCCCCAATTTATTTCTACAACCTATTGCATACTCAATTGGCATTTCTTGTTTTCAGAGCACTCAATACGTGAGTCGGAAAATTTTGGGTCAGTCATTTGGTCGTTTCTTATCGTATAATTTGGAGCTAAATAATTATGACCATCACTTCTTTTTGAACGCTTATTTTTCTTTTTGTTTTTTGACAGCTTTTTTTTTCGGCAGCATTTTTTTTGGCAGTACGCTTCAAATTTTCGGACGAGCTAAATTTTTTAACTTCCAGATCAGCTCACAGGGTGGTGTCACTTGCAGGATTCCCAAACCCAGAACCCGTTAGTTCAAGTTTCTTCTGCGAAGTCTCTTTCTGTTTAAGCAAACAGATTTGCAACAGAGGATCACAGCGAATACTATCTGAATGAGGGTGCAACAGGAAGAAGCAACTGGGAGAGACTAGCTGAAACTGGGAAATATCCCCATCATAAAAGCAATTTTCTTTAGTTGTTAAATTGCATTATATTGGGCATTTAGCGACGAGTCTTTATTGAGCAAAACGTTCCCAACCTCTTCGCATGATAAAATTTACTTTTGTTTTTCAGCCATCAGCTGAGGACGCGGACGAACTGAAGACTGCAGAATTATTTCCAAAAGCACGAATAACATACAATTAGAATATTCAGTAAAAAACAATTTCCAACTGATCCCTAAGAGAGGATGCAACAAATTAAATAAAAACCATCACTTTGATCCTTCCCAATTTCAGATTCGTTTTACTGGTCATACAGAACTACCTCAAAAAACCAAACAGATGACTAGTTAAATATTTCAGAAACACTTTTTATATTTCATTTTCAATCTATAGGTACTGCCTCTCTCTACATGCGTTATATGTCCACAATCAAATTCCTGCCTTCACAATATGTCAACAATCAGCAATAACACTACTACTGAAAACTCTTTAACGAAAGCAGAACTGCTTCTAATCATTTTCTTTTTTTTTTTGCAAAAGAACCACATCTACTTGGAAATCGCAGACTTATATTGAATTCTTCTATCTTAATTAAAACGAGATTTTGATATTTTCATAAACTACATCTGTTTATGCGAATGACAACGGATTTACCACTACTGCCCTTAAATTTATATTTTGAAATTAGCGGAAGCTAGAATTTACACACACATCGATATGTCATGTTCTTTTCACTTATATTGTGCTGTGAAAACATTTATTTTCAACAAGGAAAAATTAAACAAAAAATCAGAACAACATCCGATGAGGGAACTGATTTTTACCCAAAGCAAACCTGGAGCCCAAATAACCAAAAAGATACTTCTTCTCTGGATGTTTCCGAATCACCTCTAACACCACGTTATCTACAGCTTTTTGATCTGCTTTTCTTTGATCAGACACAGTATACTCCTAGAAAGATAATACATCAGGAAATAAAACTAGCTATGCTCAAAGCAAGACTGAAATAGTTCATCAGTACTGTCAAACATCTATTACAATCATCTTACTGCGGGACGTCAAATTCGTAATGCAGGACGTCTAATTCAAAATACAATGAAAAATGATCCGGGGAACCAAGACATACCTCCCCCAAAAATGAACGGGTAAACAAGCAATAAATTATAAATAAAAAAAATTGTGAAAAAAACCGATATGAACTTACGGTTGTCCCCTGTGTGAATATATTGGCATCGCCTTTTTTGGGTGCTTTTTTAAAATTGAATCTCCGGAAGTACGCATCATCAATGTGTTCTGGGACTTTCAATCCTGATATATCAAGTTTTGTCTTCGTTGCAATCACGAAAGCCTGGGCTATACGTCGTAGCGGAGTAGAATTTAATTTCATCGGCCCTAGATAAATTAGAAAGTGTAATGACAGTTATTTTCTCATGACAAAATATGTGCTCAATTCATTCAAGACTTCCAAAATTTATTAAAACTTCAACAGTCTTAAACAAATTCTAAAACATTGAAACTTTTGTGAGATCCAGCTTATGAATAATAGCACAACCTCACCAATGAAGATCTTTTTTATATAACTTTTATTAGCGACTGACCTAAGAAAAATCAGTACTTTTTGAAAAGCAACAAGAGACTCGATTTTGTCATAAAAGACTACCTGTCACAAGCAAGAGGCCCGATTTTTCCAGCTGCTTCAGAAAGATAACACGCTTTCCCTTGTGTCGCCCAGCCAGTATTATTAGAATGGTGCCGGGGGTGATCGATCGCCGTAATGCTGTTTTTTTTGGGGAACGTTTTGTTCGTCGGGTGGTTCTACATTCTTTTAAATATTTCGGCTAAAACTGATTCCGCAGTAAGAAATTTAAATCATTGACTTTCATATTCGAGACAAGAAATTAAAGAAATATAGTATTAGAAGCATAAACAAAAAGTCTTTCAAAGAGCTGATAAAAAAACACAACAAACGAAATGAAGAAAAAAATTATAGGCATTAAGACTTGGAAATTCGTGAAAAGTAAAAAGCTCTGTACCTCCTTCTTGACGAGTACTTTTCGCTCTTTGCCATTCTTATCGCCCCCAATCGGCTTCACCACAAACTTCACTTTGCGTCTCGTTTTCTTCTCGACAGCAGGGTATGTTTTCTTGGCATACGCACCACGTTTTGCGTACATCCGTGCAGCAGAAAATCGCATAACTCCCGGTGCTACTTCATAATTATGTCTCATACGTGGTACACGCTTTTTTGCCAGCATTTCTACAAATTGCAACAATATGTAGTAAAAGTGAAACAATTCATAAGGCGGTCTGCAAATACATGAACATGCGACACTTCTTCTCAGTTTAAGAACCCGGTACTCCATGCACATTGCTTTTTAGACTGAAGAGTTTTTACAGCAAAATCCTTATTACATGGTGTGTGAAGATACAAAGTTATATGTAAAGCAAACATTTGCATAATGTACTGTGATGCTACTTCATAACGTAAGGAAGAGAAATAATCCTGACATATCTCAAATTAATTACAGAGGCCACAAATCTAAGCGTAACTCACCCAACCAATACTTCCACACCTTCATCAGCGAGGATAGGGAACCCAAAACTACCGTAAGTTAAGAGAAGTGGAAGAATTGCTATGCAAAATAGGAGCACTATTTCGATTGTGTGATCTAGATTTTTTTGCATCGAAAACAAGTTTATTTTATGTTTTAAGGGAGGGTTACTATCACTTTTGATTAAATGAGATGAGGAGTTTTAGGAAATGCAGCATAATATACGTCCGCCGATTTCAAAGTGTCAGCTAAAAACAGTAATATTGCGATGTTTTCACGATCGTTGCGCCGTTCCACGAATTGTTGACGACCCAGAAAGAAAGATGCATCCAGTAACCGATGCCGGGTATAGATATCGATACCATCGACCAGGTATTGACCCTTTGCCTCGATTACCAAACTGCAAGGTACCAGTACATAAGCCTGATTACAAAGTGCGCGATTGCTGGACTACAGCACAAGCAAGGTATTAGTGATTTCTTATTTGTTACGTTTATTCACCTTTAGGCTATTTACTTATTATTCGAGCAATTAAATTAAAATTGGAATTGTGGAAGGTGCAGGAGAAAGCGAGGTCGAATACAGGAAAGCTGTAGTCACTGGAATGAAAAATTTTAATTAATTTGTTTTTGAAGTTTCAGAATTTATTCTGCAGATTAAATTACTTCTTTGCTTTAAACTAACATTATATGAAGAGAGTACACGAGTCACTCGAATTTCTTATCTTCAAATCCAAACTGTTGCAGGTTTGGTGAGAATGACTATATCGATTTATTGGGTGACGGTAGCATCCATCCCGCTCAGCTGCAATACCACGTTCCAGCCTGGCTTCGTGGTTTTCCAGGTCAACATCGAACTAACGAATTGGTGAAATTGATTCACTTCCGGAATTTGTATAAGGAAAAAATGCAAATCAGTTCACCTCGACGGTGGTATGATTTGCAAAAAAGAATCAAATATTTGCTTCAGAAACATAATTACTACAAGCAGGATGAGTTGAGGGATGAGCGTTATTTTGGATTATGGGAGGAGAAACCGGATTATTTCTACAAGGACAAATCTAGAAGGAGCTATCAGGACCTTATTTGATGTCCGTTTTTTTGAAAACTTCTGTTGCCTTTCTCAAATAAAAACAGTGGTAGGGGAAAGATTGCATAAGGTAGAATAATTAGCCGATTATATAAAAGCTGTTTCTAACTATATCAAGTACAGTGCTTTTCAAATTAGGAAAGAACTTTTAGACTCATAGCTTTAAATGTATTGCATATTGTTGGAAACTTATACCTAAAAAGTTTCATCTTCCAGAAAGTTTTCCAGAAATTTTTTTTTTTGATTGATATCTGTGTGTTGGTTAAATTGATATTTAAGTTATTTGTGATTGAGTGAAATGGTTTGTTTTTAAACAATTATTGTTTCATAAGTACAGCAATACAGCAATAGATAAACTTCTTGCTGGCGTCAATACTATAATATATGAGCTAGCATTTAATGCTTCATTTGGTGATCAATTTATAATGCTGATGAATTCTCTTTTTTTCTTTCGTTTGTCTTTATTGTTTTGGAGAGTTTTACCTCGAAAAAAGTGGACCTTACAGTAGAATAAAAAAGGACATTGAGATTTTGATATTCAAACATTTTGAAGTGTCTGGGAGGTTTATATTTGCTTGTTTCGTCATTTTAATCTTTTATGTACTTTGCTTTCATGTATTGTGCTATGTATACGCGTTTGCAAAATTTTTTGATTTGAAAAACATGGAACAATAAAAATTAAAGAAATTTCAGAAAGTATGGTTGTTCGAACGAGTGATGTGGACAAAAATTTCTTCACTCCACGAGACTATCAGGTATTGACATTTCAAATTTTTGAATAACATTCTATTGTCACTAGAAACTATGGTGGCCTGATGAAGGCTGTTGTTTACCTAACGATTTAAAATTCGGCAGTATTTTTAGTATAAATACTGTAGCGTTTGGTTTATTGTGCATTAAGTATAGTTACTGACAAGTAATATGTTATAAATTTTTGTCTTTCTCCCTTAGCAATCTTCCAGTGAACGTAATTCTCAACTTGAGCATTGCAAATGGGTTTGTTGGTCAGTTGTGAATTGTGTTCTTTTGATCAAATATTTTGGTCAAATAAAGGTCAAATATTTTGATCTGCAATTTTAGGAAGCGAGTTAGTTCTGGATTCGTTAATTAAACTTTTAGGTGGAATTGTTGGATAAAGCATGTAAAAGAAATATTATTGTGCCTCTCGGGACAGGTTCAGGCAAAACTTTTATTGCCGTTTTGCTAATCAAGGAGTATACTACCAAACTTATAACGCCATGGAAAAATGGTGGCAAACGGGCTTTCTTCTTAGTTGATAAAGGTAAATATTCTTATTTTCATACTTGTTAGAAGTCTTGAAAATATTGCGCTTCTGGAAAACTCTATAAGTATATAAAAGGATATTTCGTTAAATGTATAAAAGCTTTTATTTTGAAATTCGGAACAGTATTGAAGGAGTAAATTATTGCATTTGACCAGTTCCATCGTTAATCGTGATTCACTGGTGATTAGAAAGGAGAAAAGGTGTTCTCTTGAAAACTGTATTATTGTAATATATCTTATTATGTCATTTTTCAGTTTCGTTAGTTGAACAGCAAGCAGCACATATCGAACATCATACAACACTAAATGTTGGAAAAATGCATGGACATTTAAATCAAGATATTTGGTCAGAACCTGCCAAATTCGATACGTTCATTGCGTTACATGAAGTGCGTTCTTAAGGTTTTTTCGTTTATATGCTGCTATTAGAGAAATTAAAAATTTTAAAGTATGGATATTTTCTAAACTCACTTTGAAAAACGCTTTAGCATCCTTACTTTCTTTCTAGGTTACAGTACTGACTGCTCAGATTTTCTTGGATTTACTTGATCATGGGTTCTTCAACATGTCAAATGCCGCTGTTATAATTTTCGATGAATGCCATCATGTATTAGGTAGTAAACACCCGTATCGATTAATTATGCATCGGTATGGACAACTTACTGAAGGTATTTGTTAATCAGTTTAAGAGTGTTAAAGTTTAATTTGTTGACCTTTGAGTAGACTTTTCAGTAAAGAAATTTATAATAACTTGGTCTCTTCCAACTGAACAGAATATGTTATAAGTGAATTTGTATTCCTGTACTTGTATTACTTGATGGTATCTTTGGCTTTTACGGGCGAAAAAAGCCAAGAGATTTTAGTTGAAGTAAAGGGGAATGATTACTGGTAATATGCATGGTAATATGCACTAGTGAAAAATTGGCGAGCATGAAAGAAATTTTTTTTAATTCACAACGTCAATAAGAATTTTTTCCTCAGCATTATATTTGTGCATGTTCTGCAATGGAGAACTGAAAATATGTTAAATTACAGTGGACAGACCTCGAATTCTTGGTCTCACGGCATCTCTAATCAGTAGCAAAATACCACCAAGTAATTTAGAGCATCTTTTGGAAAAATTGGAAAGGATCATGCATAGTTCTATTGAAACAGCGAGTGACCTAGTCTCTGTAGGTTTTCAGTGCATTATTTCCAACTTTTTTACACTGGTAATATGCAATGTTCAGATAGCTTTTATTTATATAATGTAGTAGGAACTGATATTCCAAAAATAATAGCGTTTCATTGCAATAGTTAATTTTCTAATATCAGCAATCCGTCTACATCTTTATGATTAGTAACTGATAAGCCCTTTAACATGTTATATATCTCGTTTTGTTAAAAAGTTTTCGTATGTTAAAATATAAATTGCCGTACGTTAAAACTAAATGAAATTGAAACTTTTCGAACTATATCGTTTTTAATGGACTATCATTGGTTATAAAGTTTTCTAAAAATGCTAAATTCTATAATAAAAATGCATTCAGATTTCTAAGTATGGGGCCAGACCGAAAGAGTATGTTATAATGTGCCACGATTTCTTCTGTTGTACATGCGAAACTAGCAAAAAAGTTATCAGTACTTTGGTAAACCTTTCAGTTCTTTTTTCATTCTGACCATTGTTGTATTCCAGTCGGATAATTTATTTGGCGGTAACGATAGCTTCACTAAAAGTTTATATTTTAGCAACTACAAATGAGCTGAGGCGATTCGGTTATAGACAGAGTTCCTATCGGTTGTCTTGATTATCAATTTTCAAAAATAAAAGTCAAGAATTATCGAATTGGAAAATTAAAACTTCTTTTAGTAAATCCTGTTTAGGAAAGTTTGCGTACATTTTGTTTGAAATGTACTGAATTTCATCCCGAATTTGATGTTGATCCGAGGAAACCTGTTCTTGAAGCAGTTAGTCGAACGAAATCTGTTTTGGAACAACTTGGACCATGGTGCGCATGGAAACTTTGCCAGGTAATTTAGGTCAAATAAAAGAGATAATATAGATTATAAGCTTAAAATAATGTAAATTTGGAAGTTTCCATTCCTTTATTCCATTAACATCCCATTAAATGATTAAGCTAAAGTTCTTTCTGATTGAAGTAAGGTTTAGGTGAGGATTAAGGATTATTGTTAATCGAAGTATTGAACAGTATTAGAAAAATTGAGGAAGTAGATCTGGAGAAGCGGAGAAAACGCACAGTATCCAAAAAGGCGATGATCAAAAACTACTACCTTCTTTCGTATTTGTAGAGAATAGAAATGGTTTACAACAAAGCTTATAATTACCGTGAGTAAAAAGCTGCTCCTCTCAGATGATCTTTACTCTTTATACAGTTGGATTTTACGATTACATCAGTTGCTTATAATTGAATGTAAGATCAGAAGACACAATTTTTGAACTCCATAAGTAAATCTGTTTGAAGACAAAGGAGGTTACTGAGTAAAAAGCTGACAATATGTTAACAGTCAAGTGTGAGTTTGGTCAGCAGGTCGGAAAATCATGCTAATAAAAATTAGTAATTTTCAACACATAACCAATGCATATATTCTTTGTTAACAAATTCTAAAATTTCAGACAACGCAAATGAATATTGGATGAAGGATTTCTTAATTAAAACATCTAAGGCTTATTCAAATAAGACTGTATTTAGTCTTATAAATTTAATACAAATTTATTTCAACATATTATATTCGTTTTTTCTAACATTCCCACTGAGGGGAATTCACTTTGAGATGAAGACCTTCAGGAGGAAGAATTGAATACCTTTGTTTGAATACGTTTTTTTATAGCATTTCTAATATGAGGAACGTCATATTCTTCTTCATCGATTTCCTGGACTGATTTGTCGAACATTTGTTAATTGAGTTTTTGAGCCTCTTTCGTCATTGATTTCTAGAGGATACAGCATTATTTATTGGTATGTTAGAAAGGGGAGTCTTCCTTGTGATAAGTCTAATTCTAAACCACGGGAAACTTCTAGTTCGTTGACTAACATTTCTTCCTCAGGAGATGATCAAGAGGAATTTTCTCCCCCCAGACTAAGTGCCAAAGGAAAACTTATTAAGTACTGAATCAAACACTCTGAAGACCTTGGATACATTTTGGGATATAGAGATATATGAAAAAATGAGTATTTAATTCATTTTCGAGAACGAACGAAAAGAGAATACTCTCCTCCAAGAAATATAAAAAAATATGATGCAATCTTCAAAGTTTATGTAAATCAGTGGCCGGGTATTTAATATACCTTCTACTTCTACCAATGTTATTAATTCTCCTCCCGCCAATAACTTTCTACGAATGGCTTTTTTATTTCTCCTTTGGTTATTCCAATTATTTTCTCGTAAATTATGAGTTTCTCAAGTTTGTTCTTCACTCCATGAGGCTCTTGGTACCTTGTTCTTCCAGATCATTCCTTTATTTGCTCAGAAATCTATTATGTGTTTCGTTCCATAGTGGTCAAGAAAATTTTCTCCCTACAAAGTAAGTGCTAAAGAAAAACTTATTAAGTATTGATCAAACACCGTGAAGACCTTGGATACATTTTGGGATATATAAATATATAAAGAAATGAGCGTTTAATTAAATTTCGAGAACGAACTAAAAGAGAACACTCTCTCTAATTGGAATTGACTAGCATTATCATGCATAACTAATTTAAAATAACCTTGTCAGACAATGATTCTTCTTAATATGTACAAAAAACTTTCGGCAGATAATTCTTTATCAGTTCTAAATGTATTGCTCTTGTTGTGAAACTTGTGAAGAGAATTACGTATCTATTAGTTATGCCAGTATTAGTTCCGAGGATCCAAATAATATTCTGTGTTTTAGTTCTGAGGATTCAAATAATGCAGTCCAATATATGCGAGTGTTTTTAAGAACATTTGACTTGAGATTCTGAAGGATTAGACATAACCAGTAACTTAATGGTTTTGCTTTCCTCATAATACGGTGCTATATTATGAAAACCTTTACGGTGGAAACAATAACGTTGTCCTTTTTTACAATCACATATTGCATTTTCTATTCGAAGATATTTGAAATATGCGGTAATTTTACCCAAACGTTTTATACCGAGCTTAAGCCTGGGATATTGCTCTCATTACTTCAATGCTTTTGTTACAAAAAACACATGATCTTCTATTTTTGCCCTTCACAGGAGTTTCCTTTAATTCTGACGGATAATATAAGACGAGTACTCATTGTTTTTTCAGCTATTTCAACGACAGCTGAAGAAACAGTCAGGACAAGGTTTCTTGCCTGAAAAACAAATCATCTTCCTACAAATGGCGTATACAACAATGCGTTTCATTAAACGTTTGCTGGATGTTAAAGTGGCTAATATACGGTGCTTCAGTGATATAAAACCAATACTGCCAGATCGTTTAGCAAGACTGTTTGAAATTTTAAAGTTCTTTAGTCCTTCGAATATGGAAAAAGTGGATCCAGACTTCACATTTTGTGGTATCATCTTCGTGGAACAGCGTTATGTCGCATACGTGTTAAATGTAAGACTTTTACGTCTATATTATTTTTTTTTTTTAGTATTATTTCTCATCATGACTTATGGATATTTTATTGTTACATTATTGTTCCTTTATGTTTCAAAGTTCAGCTTCTTTTTAGACTCTTATAAGAGCAATATCACGGTGGGACAGTGATAAATTTGGTTATCTGGTTTCGGACTTTGTTATTGGATACAACAGTGCAAATATTGGTACAGAAGAAACAATGGCGTTGCATAAGAGACAGGAATTAGTAAGCATCTTTTTTTGCAGAAATTAGGATATTGATGAACTGGTTATACATATAAACAGAATACAATAGAAGGCTTACATATAAACCAGAATACAATAGAAGGGCTATTATTTTATTATTAGTCCTGCAATCTATTTGTGTTTACACGGATTAAAGGTAGTTTGATCTGCAAGATGTAAATACGTCTTCAAATTTTTTTTTGGACAACTTGCATTATTGCTCAAGAAATTTATATTCCTATCTTAGCAGTTGCTTTATATACTGGCATACTGGCTATAAACCATTCTGTATAAAATCTTAAGCTTCGTTTTTTAGCAATCTATATTTGAACTTTTTATAAACAAACTCCAGGTTTTACGCAAATTTCGTCAACGTCATTTGAATCTGTTAATTGCAACAAGTGTTCTGGAAGAGGGTGTTGATGTGAGACAGTGTAATGTGGTTATTCGTTTTGATCGGCCTACTGATTACCGTGCTTATGTACAGGTGGGTAGTAACCATTTAATTTTTTTAATTTATTACAAAAGGCAGTTTTTTGGATAGAGATTATGAGGTGTAGATATTCATTTTAATTCGCTATGTTTATTCAGAGTGGTATCACTGTTTATTAGTTCTAATCATTTCGTAGTTTGGACGGATGTTCCGAATTTTTAAATCTGAAATTCAGGTTTTTCATGATTTAAATTTTTGCTCCCACTTAAAAATAATTTTATCTTTTTTTCAACTTGGTAAAAAAAAAAACCACAATGCTTTAATTGGTTGTTCGGAAGTAGATTTCTTTTTGCTTAAATTGTCTTTTTTAGTCAAAAGGAAGGGCACGAAAAGATGGTGCAAGTTATTTTCTACTAGTCGAAGAAAGAGATCGTGAACAGTGCTCCTGTGATTTAAAAGATTTCTTGCAAATCGAAAGAGTATACATTATTTCAATGTGATACATTACTAGTTTTATTTCTCAGAACGAAGGAATCCAATAATTTATTCCAATTCTTACTTAATTATTTATGAATATTTCCGCGAACTCCGGAAAATGATACATGATTTCTACTTGCAGTCTAAGTTTGATTTTTGTAAAAAAAAAGTTAATTTTCTGAAGATGTTACTGAAGCGGTATCAGAATGTGCATAATCCCCCAGAACCAATGATTTCGCCGAATTTGGAAACAGTAGACGATATCATTGCACCATATACTGTTGAAAGCACTGGGGCGCAAGTTACTCTAACTACTGCTATAAGTCTTGTAAACAGGTTTCTCTCTTTATGTATTGCAGCTAATTTTTTCAAAATTTTTGATATCACACTATGGTCAGAATTCTTTTTTGAAAGAAATTATATTTCAAACAGTGATCTGAAATTTAGTGTTATTTCCATATCTTTTTTAAATTGTACCATATCTTTTTAAATTTTTAAATTGTTTTATTTTTTATCCCCATTTAAAGCATTCCATTTACAGGTACTGTGCTAAACTTCCCAGCGATATATTCACTCGTTTGGTCCCACAAAATACGATTGTGCCAGAAACCGTAAACTTTATGCTTTTCAGTTATATTGGCTAAGCTTATTATGTAGTTGTGACTAAATTATTTTTATCTGTGATCGACTGAAGTGGGAAGTAGCGGCAAGTATAAATAGTGTAATACAAATAGTGTAATACAGAATTTGTTAGTATCCCAAAAATTTTTTGATGAACAGAGGTTTTAATCCTATTTTTTCTGCTCTTGGAAAACAACTATATTTTCCTTGTAATAAAAACATAGCATTTATTAGCATATTGAAGTTTCTGAACGACAAAATTTAGATAGGCGATCGGGTGATGTATCGAGCGGAGTTGTTGTTACCTATCAATTCACCAATTAAGGAAACTATTAAATTAAAGAAACCATTGGAAAGCAAAAAGCTTGCACAAATGGCTGTTGCTCTGGAAGTAAGTTAGAGTCAGTATTAATCATTAATCATTCTCTGTATTTTAATATATATTTCTCTCATTCCAGTTATTTTATGAATAAATGTATTTTTTTTTTTATTATTTTTTATGAATATATGTATATACTGAGTTAGTTCTTTTCATCATCTTTTTTGGCAAAGAAGCTCAAATATCCATGTTTAATTTCTATGTCTTGCGTGCAGAAAAATTCTATATTATTGAATTTACAAGGAGGTAGATACTGTAGACTTTTTGAACTGAGTCTATTACTTATTGATTATTCTTTAGAATTGCTTTTGCCTCAACATATTATCAAAGCAGTGTTTATTATTCACGATCGAGACAGTTTTATCACATTACGAGTAAAATATAGTGGTTTTATCGTTTCCTCTGTTTCTAAAGATGTTTTAGGCATGTAGAAGATTGCATAAACGAAAAGAGCTAAATGATTACCTACTTCCTGTTGGTAAAGATACCATTATGCTAACAGCTCTTGATGAAGATCCTGATGAATTCATTCCAAATATGAGTTATAAAGTTGGATCAGCTCGAAGAAGACAATTATATGACAAGAGAGTGAGCAATTTCAAATGTATTATTGTTTAAATCCATTTTACTACTTCATCATAAATGCTGCAGGACTATGTCATGATACTATGCACGCATATTTCATTTCAGATACTTATTTTTTTATTGAGTCCATGCTTAGTCAAAAAGAAGTACCTTGAAAATTCAGCTTTTGTTCCATTGAACAAAGGGTTAGATAAATTTGCTTTAATTTTTTGCATTTCGTTTTAATTTTTTTAGATGGCAAAAGCACTACATAATGCAATTCCACATGCAGGTGAAGAATGCTACATTTATGTTATGGAAATGGATCTCATCAAAGCAGTAACTGGTGCTGCTAATCCAAAAAATCGTCGGATTATAAACCCATTGGATACCGAATTCTGTTTTGGATTCCTTTCAAATAAAAAAATACCGAAAGTAGGACCAAATCTTGGGTTCTGAGCGGGTTTAAAAATTTTTTTTTTATTATTGCGACTTTTTATTCGCTGTTTTTTATTTATTTTACTATTTTATTTGCAGATAGTTGTTGTAAGAACTTTTGAGCTTCCAGCAAAAGGAAGCTAGTTTGGATTGGACCATTTAATTTTTATTGATTTAAAAATATTAACTTCTTTTTAGAAGTTAATTTTAGATGCCCAAAGCTGCAAAAAGTTATAAAAGTGAAATGCTTTGAAATGTATTTCAGTATTTTTCGTCTCCCTATTTTCAGAATCATATTCCAAACATTTTTTTAAGGTGCCGTCATTTCCATTATTTTTGCGTCAAGGTCGTATGCAAGCCAATATTTTCCTCGTTAAATCGCGTCTTCTTGTTGATACTCAGATGTTGGAGCTTCTGAAAGCATTCCATCATTATTTGTTTGATAATGTTCTTCGGCTAGTGAAAGGGGGCTTAGTTTTTGTCCCTGATAAGGCACCAGTCAATGTTTTGATAGTTCCACTTCGACGTGGTAAAGTTTTTTTTATCTTCATTAAATCCACATTCATCATAGGAGATCGAAAGATTTTAAGTTTTGTACGTGTTCTCCAGAGCAGTGAGAATTAATCAACTTCATTGGTAATTATCAAAAAAGATTAGACAGATTCATCAAAAGTAAAGAAAAGAAATGAAGAGAGTTGACGGGAAGAGTAGGTGTCACTTAACCGTCACTTAATTGATATGTTGAAGAACGGGTTCTTTTACTTCAAAATTATTGGGAGAAGTGGATTTTTTATGGATTGCGGGTTTGCATTTTACACAAATGTTTGAAATATTAATAAATCGACAAGTGATATATCTTTAAATTTCAGAGCGAAATAGTGAGACCAGTGAAGTGGATTTCAAACTAGATTACGCATACGTGCGAAATGTTGTTTCGTCGATTGATGAATTGCCGCGAATTCCAACAGAAGCGGAAAGACTGGCTTTCAAGTTCGATGCTGCTAAGTTTCAGGATGCCATTGTTATGCCGTGGTATCGAGACCGAGACCATCCATCGTTTTACTATGTTGCTGAGGTGAGAACCAGATTTCACAGTTTTTGTTCTTTCTGATATTATTTTTATTTTTTTTTACTAATTTATGTTCAAGAACATCACAAATTTTTATGAGTCAGGTGTAGTCCGAAGTTATTTGATTGCTCCGTTGCTGAACAGAACACTCTTATCCGCGAAATCATTAGTCCCTTTACTTCTATGATTTTAGATAATCGATGCTAAACCATCGTCCAAATTTCCGGATGACAAGTTTGTAACATTTAACGATTATTTCATTCAGAAATATAACATCATTATTTATGATCAACAGCAGCCACTTCTGGATGTTGATTATACTTCGAGGTATCCTTAGTTTATAACAATACGTGTATAAATGAGATCCTGATTCTCAAGAAGATAAGAGGGAAAGACGGAAGAAAAGGGGCTGAAAAAAAAATGAAACGAACTGATTTTAAGAAATGAAATTGCGAAATCTGTTAAACAATTTTTTTTTTTTTAATCTTAAATTCCTGACATGTTGAAGTCGTACTTCAATTTAAGTAAAGATTACTTTTGTAGTCGTTTAAATCTTTTGATGCCTCGACATTGGTCACGTTCAAAAAGTCGGGTTACCGAAGAAAAAGGCTCAGAAAGTGGCGGAATATCACAAGGACAAATTCTGGTACCTGAACTTGTTGATGTGCATCCAATTGCTGCTTCTTTGTGGAATGTTATTGCAGCTCTTCCAACGCTACTTTATCGGTATGCATTTAACGGTACACATTTGTCGTAGAAAAAGTGCAGATTTCGGTAGATGCGATGAGGAAGCCCAAGAGTTTTCTGTAAATTGTATGGGAAACGGTTGCTTTTTTATTCTGTATTTAAATGTGTTAACTTTAGTAATAATTTCAGAATCAATAGCTTGCTATTGGCAGATGAGCTACGTGAGTTAGTAATGCGTGAAGCGTTTTCTAACCCTAACTATAACACTTCTGACGATGTATATTGGTTACCACTGGATTATCCAACTCCTATGGATGACCTGGAGATGAAATCAGTGCAAAAAATTTGTGATTTAAAAAAAAAGCAGTATGTTTTATAACTGTAAGAGGCAAGGTTAGCAAATCTGACAAGGAATCTTCCATTTCTTTATGCATTTTCATTGGTCAAGTACACGCTATTGCACAGTATTATTTACTGTTCATAGTTCATATTCAACAGTCATTTCATCAACGAATAATTCGTTTCTTGAGATTTTATTTTTCCAGTGTGGAACAGAAAAGTCAGGAAAACAAGGAGATGGAGGCAAAGGATTCTGGCGCTGAGATGGTAAAGTTTGTTTATTTTGTTTTACATTTCCTCAGATTTACTGGCTTATAGTTTAGCCAATCAGCCATGTCAACTACCGTTACTGCATAATTATATAGTTTGGTAAATATGTCTCATTTCACTTTTCTTGGGATGTAATGTGGAATAACTTTTAAAAGTGAAAAAAAAAATTTAAAAAGTGAAAAATAAAAAATTTAAAAAAGTGGTGGGGCAAAATAATTCGGGTATTTATGTATACCCGCCCCTATTTGGTCATATTCATCTGTTTCATATTTATTCATGAAAAACAAAAATATATTTTGTATAACGGTGATTTTATTTATATTCCAGTTTTAAAATTTTTTAGAAACTTTTAAAAATTAAAACTTTACATTTCTTCATGTGTCGCTTCTGATTGCATTTAAGTTTTATTTTAAATCTATATTTTCGTAGCTCTCATTTATATTTATAACAGAGCTCACATATTCTAGAATTTTAAACTGGATTTTTTTCCAGACTGATTTTGAGATTGGCGTTTGGGATCCGGAGCTTGCGAAGGGATTAGATGATTTCTATCTAAATAGAGAAAGACATGATGAAATTAAAGGATTTGAAGATATCGATGTAAGTTAACAAGTATCTTTACTTGAAAGAACGGAATGAGATTGCTTTGATACTAAAATTTATTTATAGTATAGTTTATTTCCTTCATTTGAGGTTGTTTTGTATGCTAATAGTGCAATCTTTTCTTGAATGCAAAGAATTAAGAGTGTGTTGGTTCAAATTCATTATTCAAATTATGCCAGATTCGTTATAAGTTCGCAAAATTATTTCCTTTTACAAATAATCATGCATATTGCAACAAAGATTACTCGGCTTCAATCAAGTTCAAGTAGATTCTTGTAAAATCTTTTATTAGAACAAAATAAATTACAAGAAAGGTATGAATTTCCTTTTAGCGGGACGCATTGGGTCTTATGAATGGTTCTGCTCTACGACAGCACGGTGACATGTCAGATGATGATGAAGACGATGCCGTTGTGTTGTTCGATTTCATAAATAGTGTCCATGAACGTCTCGGAAGTAGATTTTTTTTTTTTTTTTGCATAACCAAGAAACATTTGAGATGGAGTAACCAAACCCCTCCAAATCTAACGATAACTCAGATTAATGTGAGTTGGAGTGGAAATTTTATCATAGTGCAGTTAGTTGGTTTACAGATTAACTATCTAGTTCACTTAAAGGAATTAGCACATTTCTTCATGTAAACAGATCTATTTGCGTGAACAGTTTTTCTACTGAAAAAATGTTTCGTAAATTGTTGTTAATAGTTTGTTTCAAATTACTCTTGATGTTGCAGAAGAAAGTGGCGACATATTTGCGCCACGAGAAAATATTACATCATCTGGCTGGGATGACTTGATTGTAATAGAGGAATCAGCGCCTAATGGAATTAATATGCCTTTGGTATACTTTTTTTTTCGTTGCTGAAGTTCTTAATAATGGATTATATGAAAACATATATCTTCAATCGAAGCTGACAAAGGTAGTATCCAATAAGTCTTAAGTAGCTAAGTCGAAGCTGACAAAGGTAGTATCCAATAAGTCTTAAGTAGCTAAGTCGAAGTAGTGAAATCGTTTCATCATAGTGCTTGTGAAATTGAACTTGCACTTTAAAACGTCTTAGAGCTGAAGCAAGAAATGATGAACTATATAATGTTAAGAATTTCAGATGATATTTTCTTACGAATAAATACAGATCAGTGTAAAAGTATGAAAATTTTTTTCTGAGGTTGAAAACTTAGAACAGAAAAAAACGATGATTCTTAAGTTAATCGTGATTTGTGGTTTTAAAATCCTGCTTTACAACTTCAACTTAAAAAGTTTTTTTCTTTTTTTTTTTTAAAGGAACTATTTTTATGCCATGCAAAATTTCATGTTATGTAAAACTTCAGTTCCTTTGAGATGTTAGCTGCCAACAGTTTCACATATGTTTAAAGATGAAATAGAGCCTGATACCCAAATATTTTTTACTCAGTCTGTGAACAGTGGGGATTCCCATATCGATAGTCGAGGTTTAATGGCCGATTTATCGCGAATGAGTTGGCTTCTGGACTTGCCTACAATATTACCTTCAACTGCAGTAGATACAGCAAACCAAAACGATTTTGGTATAAAAAAGGAAACTGTCAAACTTAGCAACAAACGACATCCTTCAGTCGCTAGAAAGGTTTAGAATTTAAACAGGATTGTAAATTTTTCCTTGCGAAAAAATCCGAGCTAAATTCAGTGCATCCGTGCCTTTTTTATTGATCCTTCACAATGACAAAAAGTTTTTTGAACTGGGGGGGAATCTTGCACAGAAACCTATGCTTGCTTTGTGATTGGATAGATAAAAATTAATGTAACAGAACTGGTATAGACTGTCAAAAATAAGAATTGGAAATGTTGATCATAGGTTTTGAGTTGGAAAAACTCTTCGCTATAATTTAGAAATCTTTTATTATTATTGATGCTTCAATATTCAATTTGTAAATTACTTTTAATTTTTAGCCTGCGCAGTTATATCTCGACTCATTAGAAAGGTTGGAAGATTCGGATCGAGGGTCATCAAAGTCAAATCGTCAAGAGGAATGTATTGATTTAATCGATTTTTGTGATGAAGTGGAAGAAATCTTATCTAATGGTAATCTAATGGTTTTAAGAAAAAAAACCATATAAAATGAACAAGTTTAATAATCAGAAAATGAGAGGGAATTTTAATGAATCTTCTCTGCATCGAATAATGATTATTCGGTATTTTCATGATTTCTGTTTACTAAAGAAAGAATAAAACAATGAAAAAAAAAATGCGGAAGTGGTTAAAGTATATAATGTCACATGTTTTAAATTATCGTTTGTCCCTGAATTCTGCATCACAAAAATAATTCTTTTCATTTTAGAATGTGCTTAATCATCATGAAGGCTTTCAGGGTACGATGGCACAGCGCCATTTGATTTGCGTTATTTCAATGGATGTTTACTGGATACCGATGTGGAATTAGATACTGCTGAAGTATTGTCACCGAAGAAAATATCAATGCGTCAGGACAGAAAACTGATAGTAAGTTTCGAGGAGGTTTCAGTCATCAGAAAGTGTTGTATAACTTTTTTCTGCGTGGCAATAGATAAACTGCAATGGTATATGAGAACTACAAAAACTATTGTTCTTCAAAAAAGTTGACATTACCAACTCTTTTAGAATCATACAAGGTACAGTTCTTACTGTTAATGTTTAATGCGTTTTGACTGATGCCTGGTTTATTTTTGGAGGTTTTTTTAGATGTATAAGTTTTCATGCTTTTCAGGATGAAGAGATGGTAAGGTCATCAAGCGATTTAGAATTATTTTTGCAAATATCACACGATAATGATGTTACAAAGTTGGTTTCTTCAACGGCAGATGCGAATGTAGTTGATAGAAAGGTTTTTTGAAATATATTTCAAAAAAAAAAAAAATCCAGTGGCTTCAAATAGTCAGCAACATCAGACCCATCTTGCCTTCAATATATCAAAAATTATGTATTAAAAGTATTCTAGTTTTGCTTCAGTTTGATTATTTGGTCCATTCTTGTTTTTTTCAGAGAACAATCCTGTAATGCTTTTGTTGGCCCAAAATTCTAAATTCATTTCTTTTTTACACCTGCTTCCTGATGACTGGTGAATTAGGCAGAAATTTTATAAAGACCTTTGTTATTTTGAAAATAAAATGAATTTTTTACGTAGTAGGTAGTTCATAGTAGTTAATTATAACCCTTCCTTTAAAAACAATAAAAGAATGCTGTGAAGATAAAGTAAAAATGCTTGCTTAAGTAGGAAAAAAGTGGTTTTCTACTTGTCATTTGTCTGATTTCTCTTTTTTTAAATTACACTTAATAGCAGCACAAACATCCTTTGCAGGAAAAGTTTGGAGTGATTCTGACAAAAAATAGACCTCAAATTAAACTTTATTTCTCAGCCGTTGTGGTATTTAATAAATGAGCCACAGATTAGCCTTCATTGTTACTGCTTCATCGTTTTAAAATCCAATTTTTCAGCAAGAAATAAGTGCTCCAGTCCTCGACTGGATGACATTTTCATTTGAGGAAGATACCTTCACTGATCATCCAGACGGTGTCTCTCCATGTACTCTATTACAGGTATCAATTTCAAGGATTAGTAATTATCCAAAGTCAATTGTCTTTTAATGTTTAGCATCTAGATTTCTTGTCCAAAATTTTGGTTGTAGCTACGTCACAGAAACACTATTTTTTTATAAATGTATGAATATATAAATATACAGATGTATAGATCGTTTTTTAATGAAATTTCATGTTATTTGAAACTCTTCCTGAAAAGATGACCAGCGAACTGAAATTTTTTGGTTGTTAAATGGAACAACTAAAACCAAAATAGTTCCGGTGACCTTAAATAAGTATTTTATATGTTGAAGTGTTGATTGTAATTTTTCATCTTTCAGAAATGTTTTGATTGTTGTTTTGCTGTGGGATAAAGAATCTGATTTACTTGTTTTAAGACTACAGAACTGATTCCTTTCTGCATTTTTCATTTGATTTTCAAATGACATTATTTTAGGCACTTACACTGTCCAATGCATCCGACGGTATCAACCTGGAGCGTCTTGAGACTGTTGGTGATTCATTCTTAAAATATGCTGTAACTGATTATTTGTTTCACACTAATCCTGAGCAACACGAGGGTAAACTTAGCTTTGCGAGGAGTAAAGAGGTTATTTATCAATTTTATTGATTTTTATAAATAATTTTTTCTCGGAATTTGCTGTTGGGTTTATATCCTGAAGTGTTGGAGAAATTTTTGCAATAATTTGATTCTTGGCCGCCCCCATTTTTCTTCATTTTGTTGTGTAGTAGGTCTTTCAGCTTAGGAAGATGCTTAATTTATCTACGATATGATGTATTTTATTTCAAAATGAATTAGATGTGTTTAAAAATTACGTTTGTCGTTCTGTAGCAGTTTTACTTCTACAGGTATCAAATTGCAATTTATACCGTTTGGGAAGGAAACATAATCTTCCTTCTTTGATTATTGGCTCAAAGTTTGATCCAAATGATGGATGGTTACCTCCTTGGTGGGTTCTTATGTTTCTATTTCTCATCTTTGTTTTTTTCATAACTAGAAATCTGACTATATATTTTTTTTGTTAACTATACAAATTGAAATCTTTTAATTACTGCTGATGTTGTACGTTCCACTTTATTTTCCTTCATTCCTCTCATTAACCAAATCTAAATCCACTTATTTTGTCGTTGAAACCAATTGATTTTTTCTACTGTCTGTGATCAAAAAAGGAAAAAAAAAAAGCAAATGACTTTTTCCGTACAGTAATCTCTTTTTTTTTTTGATTTGCTTTTTTGAAATAAAAGGACGGTTGAAATTCAGTTATGCGCCAACATCAGACTTCAAAGCACCGAATACACTGGATGCAGAAGAACGTGACAAGTTCATTGAGAATGTCCTTGAAGGGAAAGCAATCGAAGGACAGGAAACGGTGTTGTTTTATTTATTTTTTTTTGTGTTATGTCATACTAAGATAAAGAACGGAAGTCATTTTTCATTTTTTTATCTTCTCGATAAACTTTCTTATCACATCATGGTTTTTTATTGTCATATTTTCTTCATTTAAAAGAAATTAAGTCATTGTTTGTGTGCAATCAACTTACCTGGTTGCATGACTGTATATAAATATAAAAATATATATAAATGGTTTATTAGTACTTGGATTTCAGGTAAAAACTCCTACAGGTTGGGATGAAGCTGATAGGAACGGTCAAGTTCGACGAATTGCTAATGGTATCGAGACTATTGAATTTCCAAAGGTGAATAATCAAATTACAAAGACTATATGTTTTTGCTGTCAGTACTATTTGTTCATTTTGTAGCACTTGTTCCGTGGATTTTGGGTACATTAGATGTGAATAAATATTGGGCACTTAAGAACATTAGAATGTCGATATCATTACTCGCTCTAGTTGCCTTTTTTAGCATTTTTGTGAATAAATTCTTCACTTCAAACTTTTTATTTTCGTTCATCATCTTCAGAATATGACAACAAGTTGGGATGGTGAAGAGATTACGCCGTTGCCGTATAATCTGTTAACACAGCAAAGTCTGGGTGACAAATCAATTGCTGATGCAGTGGAATCTTTGATTGGTGCTCACCTTCTGGAATTAGGTCCCACAGCAACTTTAAAATTCATGAAATGGCTAGGACTAAAGGTGCTTACGGAGCCTGTACAAATAGAACCACCGCTATTGCGGTTCATTGACACAACCGATGAGGTAATCTACGTGTTATCTTTTGGATTTACTTTGTTAATTGTCTTAATAATCTGATGAAGTATGTTGTGCAGGTATTTTTTAGTGAAATTTTTGCACTTTATTCGTTCTACAGTTCATAAATTGATCGCAATTATATCAAATCTTTATGTTTTCTTTTGCGATTAATATCAAATTTTCAGACAGTCGCTTTAGTTAGCACTATTTTTTTTTTATTCTACTTTTTTGGAAATATTTGTTTTTTTAATTCGTGCTTGGAAAGTAAACATTGGACTAATTGTCTTAGAATGGCAGCTAGTTCAGTTATTAATTCCTTTTTTACTTCCAGCCAGACAAATCGCTGAGAAAGTTAAATGATCTGTGGATACAGTTTCAATTTTCGAAATTAGAAGATTGTATTGGCTATCGTTTCCATGATCGGGCTTATCTATTGCAAGCATTTACGCACGCTTCTTATTATAAAAACAGAATAACGGGCTGCTATCAGGTGCTCTTGCTCATCTATTAAATTTGGAAATTTTACTGTAGTATATGTCTTACTGTCGCTGTTGCATTAGTAAGACCTCTTCACATCGACTTGACATGTGGTCGTATATTTCATTCTTCCAGTCATTTAATTTTTACTTGAAAATTTGGTAATCTATTTATAAATGTTCTATTGCAGCGTTTAGAATTTCTCGGTGATGCTGTCCTGGACTATGTTATCACGCGGTTCCTCTTTCAACATTCAGCACATTATAGTCCAGGTGTTCTTACCGACCTCCGTTCCGCACTTGTCAACAATACTATTTTTGCATCATTAGCTGTTAAGTATAACTTTCATAAGGTACTTCTACTTCATTATTTATCTTCAGTGTGTAAATAAAATTCCTCAAATTCCATGTTGTAGTTCTAAATGCCCTTGTTGCATAAAACATGTGAAATTTTTTTTGCCCGGAAAATATTGCCCATTAAGTAGGTAGCACCAAACTTCTATTTTTAATAGTTTTTCATTGCTATCATTTAAGCATTTTATCGCAATGTGTCCCAGACTACACCATATGATCGAGAAATTTGTTTGTCTATGTGCAGAAAAAAATCTTTCCAGCGCTAATTTCAATGAGGAGGTATTTTTCTTCAAAAACTTGACAATTTTCGCATATTGTAATGCTTGATGATTGTGATTTTGATGCAGCTAACTAACACAACTAAATCGAAACCAAAAAGTTCATGTCATATTTTACATTTACATTTTTTTCAAATTTAAAGATGTATATGGTGACGACTGAAGAAGAAATTGATGAAGGTGAAGAAGAAGATATCGAAGTTCCAAAAGCAATGGGTGATATTTTCGAGTCGGTAGCTGGAGCCATCTATTTGGTAATTCAAATCTTCTAACTCTTTATTAAGAGTAGAATTCTCGTTTTTTAAAAAAAGAAATTTTGTAAAGTCTCATTTTGTTTATTTTCGTAATTTTTCAAATTTCAGGATAGCGGACGAAGTTTGAACACTGTGTGGAGGATCTTTTATAACCTTATGAAAGAAACCATAGACGAATGCTGCAGTAATCCACCACGTTCACCGATTCGTGAACTGCTTGAAATGGAACCTGAACGGGCTCGATTTTCGTATGTTTTATTTCTCTCTGTTCTGACAATTTTTAAATTGCACTCGTTCCATAGTTTAGTTTATAATCGGCTGTGATTTTCAAATTTTTTGATTCCAATTAGCATATTTTGGAGCGTAAATCATTGATAAATCTAGATACTTTGGTTTATGAGAGAAGTTAGAAATTGCTTTTCTTTTGGTTAGATTGTTTAAAATCAACAAAGTTTAAAAGTTTTGGAACATGTTGCTTTTCAAAAATTCCAAGATATTTATGTAAAGGAGTAGAAATTTGAATCTGACCTAAATTGGACTCATTTTTTTGGAGGAGTTAGCTATAATAGTTGATACTTGAATAGGGCATTGCAAAAAATATTTAAAAAATATTCAAAAAGATAAAAATAAAATATCAGTTCTCTCTATTTTTAATACTCTATTTGTTAATAAGCATAATTTTATTGTAGAAAACTGGAGAGAATATTGGAAACGGGGAAAGTGCGTGTAACAGTTGATATCCAAGGCAAGTGTCGTTTCACTGGAATGGGTAGGAGTTATCGAATAGCTAAGTGTACGGCTGCCAAACGGGCTCTGCGGTATTTGCGGAGTTTAAAGAAAGAAAAAGAACGAGTGGCTGGGAAGGAATAGTTTGTTTTCAAATTTTGGAAACTATTGAATTAATATATTAAAGTATCCACAAAAAATAGCAGGAAGAAGGGGTGAAAATACTGAAGTTAGTAGTGTGAGATGCAGGTTTTACTTTTAGAAATGATATCTATATTAATAGATGAATTATATAGAATTCATAATTAGAGAAAGTTACTGAAGTTGCAATTTAAAATCACCAATGTAAAATAAGGAAATATGTGAATCTTTTTTTGCACTGGTAACGTATCTCATAACTTTTTGACTTTATTAAACTCTCAGTTCATGAATATTAGTAATTCCGATTATTTTTTTTTCTTTAATCAAAGTAGAAGAATCTTAATGATTTTTTTTTTTTTTTTTTTGTACATTTTGGTGCTTTTAATTTCAAGCAGTATTTAAATTTATCTGAACTGGTAAATTTGGAAATTTAAAGAAAGTTTAAGATTTGCTACAACATGATTGCTTGATGCGTCGGGATATTAATTAGCTTTTGTTCAGTTTGAAAGAGAAGTTTGGACTTTAGAAATGGACTTCATGAGATTAATCATAGTCGCTAAATGCCATTTATAAAATTTGCTTCAATGACTAAGAACTTTATGTTTCCATCTGTCCGAACATCTATGATCTCCCGCATTCTTAAAATTGGATAAATGTTCTCGTCATTACCTACCGCTAATTTGAACAAATCAAATTGCAATGCTCATCCTTCAGTGTAAAAAATAAAAAATGAGGTATAAAATTTACATAGATTTGTAGTTTGATATCAAAAATAGGCCAGTGAGACTTCTCCGTGTTAACTTAGTGAATGATTCTTAAACAGTTCCAGCATCTTTGGTAGTAGTTATTCCGGAGTTGCTCAGAAGTTAAATCCTTCATCACACTTTTTTTCCTCATCATCCGTTTAACGGAGTACTTTGGATTGAGTTATGAAGCCAGAGTGAAGAGTTGAGTGTGAAGTAAATCACTGCAATGTTAGTATACCGTATTTTGCTTAGGTAAAAGGATGAGGGAAAAGGCTTTAGGCAACATTGTAGATATTTTAATTAATTTAAAATTTGCTGTATAAAGAATAGGTTATTTGGTTATGTATCATTTTTTGACACATTCATTTTATGTTCAGTTGATAAGTCGTTTGATGAAGTAGTAAAAAGATAAAAATTGAGAGATTTTCACTTAGTGAATCTGTAGATATGCTAATATCTGGGTCAGTTGTGTAATTGCAACACTTTATGCATCCATCAAGATGAACTACTGGGTGCAAATTTACTACATTTTTGTGCTTATTTCCTTCTTTAATTTAATTTGGAGTGGGAAAAAGCATGCAGAAACATAAAAATGGATAATTGTCTTCATTGGAACTTATGATGAAAAAAATAATAAAAAGAGAATTTTGACATCACACTTCATTGAAATTTTTAAAATTTTTCGTTTTTAGTAGATAAAGTGAGAGCTATCACTCAGAAAGTTCTTTTGCTATGCAATGTATAAAACCGATGCTTGAGAGGTAATTTAGAACAGATGAAAGCATAAGGATTGACCTCATGCTCTGAAGCATTTATGCTTTCCAACATAAATTAATCCGATGGGCTAAAACCAATAGCTGTACAATGTGAGCCGTTGCTAAGTTATTCTAAAGGATAATTTAAACAATGCTTTGCCATAAAAATGGAGTGAAGTGGAAAAGGAATTGAAATCCAGCATAATACAAGCAATAGACAGAGATAAAGCATTACGAATTCTAACAAACGGATGTAAGTCATTTTGGTGAATTGCAAAAGGTACTTTAAAAGACCATTTTTATAAAAGAGATGAGCACAGGATATATTTGAAGGAATATAAAAAAAATCATGGAAATGAAAATCTAACTACAAAATATCTTAGCCAAGCAAAGACATTTTTGTGCATCTCCACCAGATTTTGACTTAAAATCTTAACGTCCCCTATATCTTTATACGCCAACGATTTCGCTATAACGGAAGCACAACTTTTTATATTCGCATAGATTCACAATAAGACACTTATAAAAAACCAATTCAACAATTCAGAAACATAAAAACACTCATAAAAGCTTAAAAATGATTAATTTTGAGAGGATGAAGAAGCATTTATGAAGCTATACCACTTGCGCAAATAAATGAAACGTCTAATAACTTGATTGTAAACGTGTTTTTTTTCCATCACTAATTTTAACAAGTGTGGATGACACCTATCAATGTGTCCCTTGTCTATCATCAAATACTATTAACGTTCTTCGCATAAAGTGTAACAAGATGAAATAGTAATTTACAGTATCCACAACGTTTATGGACATGTTCAACCAGAATGGGTACGCATCATCCTATGAGCTGTCATTAAAGTCATCTTTTAATCTGATAATCACCAAGGTATCATACTAGTAATAGACTAGAAGCTAATTCTAATCTAAACTAGAACTAATTCCATTCTCGATAGTGTTTCTCGAACTAAAGAATGAAGCTAAATAACTCCATTTGGAAAAAAGAAACGTTTCTTCGCCTTTTTATCATGTCAATAACACCGTTTACCTTTTTGTTCACATAAAGATTTATTTTCTCTGGTGGTTATGCAAAACATATTTATAGCACCCATTATTCGGCTACTTAATTAAGTTTGCAGCCACATTTCGTTTTATATTTATCAAAAATTTCACATCAAGTTTCAACGAAATGGGATGGAAAATGAACTATGAAAAAAGAGATCTCATTTAGATTTTATGTAAAATTTTTTCTATTTGAACTTTTTTCCTTTCAAACGCAGAAAATAGAAGAATTATGAACAATCAATATTACTTTTTAATTAGATTCCCACCCAAATTTTATTTCATACTTGCGAAGTTTGAAAATTGGTAGAAAATCTGCGTCTGTGACACCAATGAAGACTGTTAAATAAAATAATAAAAAAAAAAAAAAATAGAAAACAAAGCTTTGTCTACTATCAATGAATATCAAAATAGAGTGCAAAGAGTAAGATTACTATGAAAATAGATGAGTGTTTAACTTATAATGAGAATAGAAACAACAATAATGGATGATGGTTCTTGCTATCCTCTTCAAAATACAAGGCTTCTGTACACTTATTTTACAATATTTGTATAGAAAATAATTACTTTCACTTTTAATTTTTTTTATTTCTTCTTCTTGTTCTGTAATTTGACTACTTTCGTTTTCACCTTTCAAATGAAAGCTTAAATTTTAGACATATTCAAAGTTAATGAGTCAGATTTTGATAATGGATTATATTATCATTATTTATTATATTTTCTACCAATCTGTAAACAAATCATTACCAGTTTTAATATTGCTCTGATTATTTTTTAACCAAAAGAATCATGGTAATATTTTATTTATAAATTTAATTTAATTCCAAATTTTTCCATGACAACTTTTTTATTTCTTTTCCCATTTTTAAATTATTTATTTATAAATCCAATTTAATTTTAAATATTTCCATGATTTACTGCTCCCACTACGAATAGCTAGGCCAAGTCAACTGGTACTGACTCAACATTCTCAAAACCCTTTACAGAAGCTGGTTTATTTCGTAAGCTACATCTTTGAGAATCTGCAAAAGAGTAACGGAAAATCCTCTTCAGACAACAATTTTTGATTTTCAGATATCAGCATCTGTGGTCATGTTCGCAAAATTATAATAAAACATTTCGACAAACCATGGAAGACAGAAATTCCTCGGAGATGCTTCACTGTAAACAGAACTAAAGCATTTTTCAGGACAAAAAAAGTTCATTCGGTAACATGCCTGGTACATATACGTGTTAACACTTCAAAATCACAAAGATACAAAATACAAAGAATGTTAATGGTTCCATAGAAAATAACTGCATATATCAAATGTGATTGATATTCACAGAAAATAGCATTTTTGAAAGGGGAAGTTCAGTAATAATAGTATAGGAGAACATATTATATATAAACATGTATTGTCGAGAAATCATAGATTCTTGTCAGGGAAGCTTTCTTGGTTATGGTTTGGAGTTGACTCAGACGAATGTGTTAAAGAGTTTGTTGTAATAACTTTTATTCGCTAAGACAACAATATACTGATAATTTGCTAGAACTTGAAGGTTAAAAGAAGAGGAAGAAATAAATTAATGAAAAATTTAAACAAAGAATTTTTAAATATATCGAATTAAATGGTGCGAGAGAGCAACAGAATTGTAACTAGCTTTAGCAAAAAGCTGATAGATAAAGGATTAAAATTTTATAAGTAATGGTTATAGTGAGCAAAGAGCCGTACATCAAACGATCTTCATTCTTTATATAGTAAGAAATAGATTTTAACATTATATCGGTTGCGATAAGAATGGCTCTTAACTCTTCCACAATATTTTGACATTCAAGTAGATTTGGTTCCGAACAAAGGAGTAATTTTCAACACATTAAGCAATACACATACTCTTTGTTAACAATTGAAAATTTTTAAACAATGCAGATAAGCTTAACTACAACTGGAAGATGTGTTGATAAATGATTACTTACATAAGATACAATTTGAAACAGTCATAGGACAGTCTAAAAGATATTCAATTAAGACGACCTTTTGCCCTAGAAGTTAATACAATTTATTTTGACATATTATAATAATTCGGGTTTTTTTCGATATATCAAAATAACCTTTTAAGTTCTTGCCGTTCAGATTTACGCTGTTTACGAACTGCATCAATCTGCTGCAAATAAATCATTAGAAGAATAAAGAGTTTTCCAGAAATTTTTCTGGAATATTGGTGGAAATTTGATTTCAGCGCAGAATCTCGATACTTAAAAAAATCAAATCCAGCCAACTAAAACACTCTTTTCAAAGCCTTATTTTTCAATAAACAAAACAGCATTAAAATACAGCAAAGTCATGATATATTAGATGGCTAAGATCAAGTAGCATTACACATAATCAACTGACAAAGGATCAATACAGTAGAAAATAAAATGACTAGCACGTTTCTTTGAGCAAGATAAAGCTTGAATAAT